GTGTGTGTGTGTGTGTGTGTGTGTGTGTGTGTGTGTGTGTGTGTGTGTGTGTGTGAGAGAGATTGAGGTCAGACCAGGCTGGCTGGGAAGCGGCAACCCCAGGATGGAGGTCAGATTCAGACATGGGTCTGCTTACCTGGGGTTGCTGAGTAGAGAAATGAAGGGGAAGGGACAAGTGTGAAGCCAGAGGCAAGCCCAGGTGCCCAGTCCAGGCAGGAGGTGTCCCAGGGACGGATGAGGGCGAGGTACTCAGGACAGCGGTAGGGAGGAGTTGGTGAAGGAGGGGAACCGCCGCTGCCGGGTGGGTCTTAGAACAGGCTCAGGATTAATGGGGTGGGAGTGGGGGGTGGACTCATTCTGAAATAGGCCCGGGAGGGACAGAGGGGAGAGAGACGTAGGGACCATGTCCCTGTAAGCAATGCTACCTGCCAGGGCCCCACAATCCCTATAGTTGTTTTAAGCCCCGCAGCAGTGACACCCCCCACCCCACCCCCACCCCGTGTGCCAGAGAAGAAGCCCCCTAGTGGTTCGGGGGCGTCCTCTTTACATGGGGTCCTTAGGCTGGCCCCATGGGTCAGTGTTTCTGTTAGCAGCCGAGCCTTCACCATGGCCCCCACTGGGGCTCTGCATTTGTTGGTGGACAAATGGAAAGATGTGTTGTTGGGTGCCTGCTGGACTCAGAGCGGCGCCCTGTGACAGGCCAGCCCCACGGGGTCCCCAAGGGCGGCATCTCCAGGGAGGGCCCCACGCTGAGTTTGAACTGCTGACCTTTTGTTGAGCAGGCAAATGTTTAACCACTGGGCCACCGGCGAGGCTTTGAGTTAGAAATGATTCTGGGGCAACAGTTTCCGTACCCCACCTCCCGCCCATTAGCAGGGTGGAAATTCCCTCTATAGGTCAGGAGGGGCGACACAGTTCCACAGTGACAGCACCCACTCTGTCTCCGGCGCCCTGCTTGCCCCTCTGCCTTCCTTTCCATTGCGATCTTTTTTTTTTTTTTTTGCTTCCAGTTTACTTGAGGCAGCTAAGCTGGGGAATCTCCAGGTTCAACACTGCACAGGGTCCGTGGGGGGGCTTGGGCACAGTCAGTCTGCACCGGTTGCCGGGTCCTGTTTCAGAGCTTTCCGTCACCTGAGCCTAGGAGAGGTTAAGTCACCTGCTTGAGGCCACACAGCAACAACAGACAAGCAGGGAGGCTGACTTGGTGTGCGTGGGCCTAACTCTGCTCTGCTGGTCCCTCGGCCTAAATGCAGTCAAGAGAGACCTGGGTCTGTAATGCTTCAGACGACACGATGTGTGGATGTGCCACGTAAAGTTGTGGAAGGGCAGAGATGTCATTTTGAGGACTAAGGCGGGACTGCCCCAAGGGAGCTTTGGGCTGTCACCCAAGGTCAGCAGTTTGAAACTGCAGGAGAAAGATGATGCTGGTTCATCTCCAGCCTCCTTGTCCTCGGCTGCCGGGGGTCAGGGAGAGGATGTTGAAGCTGGCTGTTGGAGCGAGCCAGGCCCGGGGGGACCAGGCTGGCTTAGTGGGGCCAGTGAGAACCCGCAGCCACAGCAGCGGCACACTGGCCTCGTTAGAGGCAGCAGATGGAAGTTGTGACGGGCCACACAGAGGAAGCTAATGATGGTTGGGATGCCTGCTGAGGCCACTCACAAGGCATTTTAAAATCAGGCGGTGATTGGGAAACACTCGTGGAGATAATGAAGCGGAGAAGGAGAACATATGTTCATTATTTTGCTCCTGGTGGTCACTCAGCGAATCTGATTCTGGGTAAATTGAAGACTAAGCCACATGGAGCCTGCTGCCTCTGAGTCAATTCTGACTCACAGCGACCCAACGGACGGAGGAGAGCTGGTCCCCAGGCTTTCCAAGACTAAAATCAGTGGTTCTCCCCTGTCCGCATGCCGCGACCCTGTCATACAGTTCGTCATGTCGTTGCTACGTCATTGCTGTCATTTTGCTACTGTGATGCATTGGGCGACTCCTGTGAAAGGGTCGTTCGACCCCCAAAGAGTTTGCGACCCACAGGTTGAGAACCGATGCTCTCAATCTTCACCTGAGCAGACGGCCTCATTTTTTTCTCCCTCGGAGGGGTGGGTGAGTTCGAACTGCTGACCTTGT